ATATCTTTATTTAGTTAGTAGTTTAAAATTTTTTTATAAATTTTAAATTATAAAAAATGTTAATTAAAAATAAAATTTTTAAAGATGTTAACCAAAAAAGCCCGTTAATATCTTGATAGAAGTAAGAGGGTTGGCTTTTCTTCTTTTTTTTTTTTAATTGTAGAATAGAAGATAATTATTTTTTATTTTTTGCTTTATTTTACTCGCATGTCACGCAAATTAAATTTAAAATTTTTTATTTTTAATAAAAAAAATGACTATTAAATTATGTAAGCGGTTAACATAAGGTTGACGTTTTTAATTTTATAAATTAAAGTGAAAATTACATTTGACGAACTAAGACAATAGTATTTTTTTTTTACCAAGTAGATGATTAAGAAGTTAGTAGAGTTAGTTTGTTAGCAGCTATAAATTTTTCAAGAAAGTGAATGTTCCACCCCTTTGGGGCGCGCGACTATTAGGTCGTAAGTTGGTGGAATTTACGGCGGTGATAAAGTTCGAAACCTTGACCTCCACTTCACCCAAACTCTAAAGTTTGGGATCAACCAATTGGGCCACAAGTACGGTTGACAACCAAGACAACAGTGCTACTTGCGAACATTTCTCCTTAAGATATCTTGGATAAGAGCAGTGCTAGGGGCACTCGCTTTTTGCACTGTCCGGCCAGCACTTCCCCTTTCATTGGGCCACGTAAGTTTCTTTTGAAGCTTTCAGCGCAACTTCTTGGAATCAAAAATAACGTGGCCCAATAAAAGAGAAAGTGTTGGCCGGAGAGTGCAGGAGGCGAGTGCCCGTAGCATTGCTCTCTTGGATAAAGTTGGATCCACGCCATGCCTATAGCCACGTGCATCTTTCTGTTGCACGCACGAGTTACATCACATGAGCAAAGTTTCAATTCCCAATGAAAATGTCTCCAAAAAAGGCATATACAAACAATGTTACACACGTGGATTGATTCCAATCATCTATTTTTTTTTATTCCCATTGATCTTGTGTTTGTTGTGGTCTAATTTCCAACAAACTTCCTAGTCTTCTTCTTCCCACTTTCCCAATTTTAACTTTTAAGCACTTCTCCCCCTCCACCTTCCTATTATAAAAAACCCTCCTTCCCTTACCAATTTTCCTCAACCAATTGTGATATCTCTCTCACGAAATCCCCATTCACAAAATCTCCCTCAATCACCAAGCTTCCCATCTTCCTCTCCCAAAAATCCACATCTCAAAATCCCATCTTTTCTTCAGTGGAAAGTAGTCTGTGGAGTCCCCCCAACATTTTATTAAAGATGGTGAGAGAGGTTAGGTACATGCAAAACTGGGGCGAAGTAGCATCAACCCTTCTCATTTCGCAGCAGAAATCTTCAAGACCTTGTAAATTGGAGACCATTCTGGAAGAAGGATATGAAAACTCTGTGGTGGTTCCCAAGAGAGTTGTGTATCTTCTTCCTGTGGTCTTGTCTATGATTCTTTATTTCATGTTTTGCAGTGACTTGGGTCGATCCTTATGATGATTGACATTTTAATAGTCTATTCGAGTAAGATATGAAAGAGAAGAGAGAGACATCGTTGGTTGTGTGGGGTGCGGAGCAGGGCAGGGCAGAGCAGAGCACACCAAGTGTTTTGAGGAAATGCCACTGTCGGTTTGAGTAGAAAATCGTGATGGCAATGTGCATGATGGAGTGGTGAATGATGAAGGATTTTGGATGTATTTCCTTTGGAATGTTCCAATTTTGTAACATATTTCGCTATTATAATCCAATTAATCCGCCTGCTTCTTTTATTAAAGAAATCCAATCCTCTGTTTCTCTCTGTCTCTCTCAGCTTAATTGAAGGTGGCGTTTGTTTTAAGACAGGAAAACCCAGATTAATTAAGCACGACAAGATTGACCTTCTTTAATTTGGCAATTCCTTGGTGATACAATTGGCTCTTATATTTTCGCCTGCTTACTGGGTTTTCTAGCTGGGTTTGCGTAGGAAGATGGACAAGCAACAAGATCAAAGAAAAACTTAGAGATGTGAGGATTTGTGTTGTGTTTCTGACTTACAGGCCACAACTACATTTTAACATTTGAAACTCTGTCAATCTTCTCATTAAGTTAATATCCATTATGCAATTGATTGATATAAACCTGACATTATGATATTTTTATAACCTCTATTTTGCTGTTACATTGTTCATATCAAAGATTTTGATTATATTTGTTCTTCTTCTCTTTTGTGCAATATAATGGGCATTACACTACTTAGGCCAATGTACATGTACCTGACTAAACTCACATTGTCAATCTAATTAGAAGCAAATCATACATGCTAAAACTAAGAAATTTTATAAGAAATTATGTCCTCACAAGCTTCTTAAAGAATCAAACCATGGGTCATGTCTTTATTCTTGTACGCTTCTGGTTTTCCTCTTGATTTTACATTGATAAAGTTTTTTATAATCGACATTTAGATGTAAAAAAATAAATTTGTTTTTCATATGCCCTAATAAGTGGGAAAAACAGAGGATGCACAATTAAATTAAACTCGAAATCATGAACTTTTAATTAATACGTGAAGCATGGATACAAGGTAAAATTCACTCTAGCACCCTAATATATATGTTCATCAATCCTCAGCCATCCATAGGTTATTGGGTTTTGATCACTAAGCAATTTGTCTATACAACAAAAAATAAAACATCAAAGAAAGCAACACAGGAAGAACAATGAAAACCCTTTTGGGCACGCGGACGCCATCGCAGCCCTCTTCGGCTATGGTCTCCAGTTTGGGAGAAGTTGAGGATTTCTGGCGAGAGATGAGAGGTTCTGGCGCTACCTCAACCCAGTTTTGCATATATCTCACTTCCTTCACCATTTTTGTGACACAAAAAAGAAGAAAAAGAAATGTTGAGTCTCCTTCCTTGTGTTGCAAGTTAGGAGAAGGTTTCTGTCAATTGTTGGAGAAGATGGTTTAGAAAAGGGGAGTATATATGGAGGGGAGGTAGAGGTAAAAATAGGAAGAGGTTGGTAACATTTGTGGACTAATTGAGGATCTAGAAGCCAATGCATAGATTTGCCTAAAAATATGCCTGGGGTAGTTGAATTTTTAGACAGATTATGGAACAATATGGCAAAATTAGAATATTAACTAGATTTAAGGAATAATTTAGAATCCATTAAAAAAGATACAAACTTTAGGTTGGAACTTTTATTAAAGGCAGAGAAGATTTATTAACTATTAACTAACTTAAATATCTGCTATTTTTGGGCAAAAAAAAAAAAACTAAATAATGCTATATATGGGGTGATAGTTTTGCCCATACCCAATGGTTTGATATGCAACCGTACCGCTCATTTTATATTACATTGTAATTCTAGTAACATTTTGACCCTTCCTGTCCCTTTCACAATGATGACAATAATCAAGCATAATATTCACTCTTTTTAAAAAAAATTAGAATGTGTAATACTTTAATTTGGCATAAAAAAGCCTGTCTATATCATATATTATCTATTCAACAAGATAAAAGAGACCTAAGAAAGAAATGCAGGAAGAAGAAATAGGACCCTCTTTTGCAAGACTTGGAGATTTTCGTTGACATCCTTCTTCAACTCTATGTTCTCCAATTTGGGAGAAGTAGAACATTTCTGGTGTAATATTTTGGTTACTTGAAAAGTGCAATGCAAGCTTAATTAGTTTAACCAAAGCAAGAACTTCCAAAGATATAACTAACTGCAAGTGATAAACAGGTGGAGGGAAAAAAAGCATAAGGGAGTGTTGAACAATGAGGTTGAGGCCATTCATCAGTGGCTTAGCTATATTTTAGAAACTCTGTGGAGAGTACTAAGGATCCATTTGATGCAGCTTCTCAAGTGTTTCAACTTTTTTATACTATTTATGTTTCATAAGTTTAAATTTTTTTCTTAAAAACTTATATTTTAAAATATTTTTTTAACCTTAAAAAGATCCTAAACAATAAAAGATCAAAATTTTCAAATTCAATCTTTTCATAAACTTTCTTTTTATTCACTTTTTCTTATATCTAAAAACAACTTTTAAATTTTTTTTTCCAATAAAAATTTAAACTTATCACTGATGAACAGTATATATATAAAAAAAAAAAACTCTAACAAATTGCACCAAACAGGTCCTAAAAGTTACATAAGGATGACTAGGAACTTTTGTGGAATTGGAAAGCCAGTGGTGTAGTTGAATGTTTCGCCACTAATTAAATTCTTATGGTCTAAACCCATATCATAAATTTAGCACTAACTATAATTAGGTTGTGGGGATTAATCTCAATTTGAGTATAAATTATACAATAAGAGATCATCAGTCCATTGATCTCTTTCCTAACCTTCTTTGCCCGATCCCGGAGCCTATTGTCAAAGTTCAAGTATGTGGTATTTTGAAAGCAAATTAATCCAAACATTTTCTTGACATTATCAATTAATGATGAGTTTTCTTATGAATAACTTGATCATTGAGCGGATATGCAGTTAGGTAAATCCGCAATATATATTCACATTACACAGAGGAAAAGGTTTTAATGCCATAAAATGTGTAGAAAATATGAAGTATGGCTCCAGGATGATTTAATTATAACTTGATTTATGAATTTACTCAATGAGAAAAGTTAACAATCAGAGAGCTACCCTCAAATTCATTGTTCTTTCTTTTTCTTTTTTATGCTGCAATCCAATAAAAACGTGATACTTTACAATCCTTATCATGGCAGTGTAGGGAGGAGAAAGTTTCAAGCTTACGGATGAGAATTTTATAGGTCAGTGTCTTCTTTTCTCTCCCTCTCTTCTTTTTTTGTTTTTTTATTTTTTAGGTCTCAAAGACTCAAACAATATTCATGGGTCAGAGTCTAAGGGCAGGAATATATTTATAGATGCTAGGAATTATCCACTTTCTTTCTTCTTCACCTTTTCTTTTTCTTTTTCTTTTTCTTTTCTTTTTTTTTTTTCATTTTTTTCTAGAACTAACAACTCAAGCTTGAATGTTCTTTGAATTTGAATGGATAATTGGTGTTTTTCTTGAGTCTAATTCTTATAGAATGGATTAAGAAAATGTCATTTTGTATTTTTTTTATCAAATGATGAGTTGTACAATAAAAGATAATAATTTTTTTTTCTTAATCTTCACTCACTTGTTTTAAAGTTTGATTTTAAGATTTTTAACTTAAAATTTTAAATTATTAATTACATAAGAGACTATTAAGAAAATTTATTTTAAATTTATAAATTAATTAATACCCAACTTTAAAATTACTAATAACTTTTTTTCTCAAAGCCATAAAAGCAATTTTCTTCTTAGTAAAAGTTAAATAATTATTAAACACCCAAATTATATCCTTTAAAAAAACATTATAACTACCCAAAAACAGGAGAGAAATAAAGGCTTTTCACAAGGCATTGCATTTGTTATTTTGATCATCCTCATGAAAGAGACATTCACATCATGTATGAAGCCAAGCCAGCAATTAAAAGATAATTAGAGAAAAACCAATTAACATTTGACATTAATAATTCTTCTGCACAGTACAATGTAAGAAACAACAGAAAGAAATACAGGAAGAACAAACAGCACCCTCTTACGCCCAACTTCAAATCTCTCACATCCCTCTTCCACAATGGTTTCCAACCTCGGACAACTTGAAGGTTTCTTGTGAGAGACTAGAAGCGCTGGTACCTTCTCAACACTTTTCACGCATCTCATTCCGTTCACCATCATCTCGGATGATCGACTCCCTTAAATAATTTCCTTGTGTTGCAAGAAAAATGTGGTAGAGGTGAAAATATTGTTCTTGAATTAGTTAGTGCTTTGAAAGAGAATACGAGTATTGGTGAGGAGACGTTTGAGGTGAGTTGCTTTTATATAAGAAAAGTGTAACAGAGAGAAGAGTTTGTTAGCCTAATGTGGACTGATTCATGGTGGAAAAAAGGCGTACAAGAAACCTTTGAAAATGTCAAAAGGGCAGGTACTTATTTAAACAATTCAGTTGTTTTAATTTAAGGCAAAATTCCTGTTATTTCAGTTAACCTCTTTACTCCCAGAACTAGAAATTGTCCTAAAATGACTTCAAAATTAGACAATTTTTGCTTTCTGGTTTGATTTTCCTAGCAAATTCATAGGATATTGAAAGAACATGGGCAAATAACAAAAGGGTTTGCAATTACATTACAACATGGAAATAATTACATTATACAAACACCAAATGATTAACATATAACAATCCTCATCCCAATTTTCTCATGAGACAAAAATTTCTACCAAACATAAACCATGATTCATATTAAAAAGCATTTCATGGTTTAAATCGGATGATTCATAACATGTACATGAAGTCATGAACTGGTGATTTGGTTGTAAGATGACAAGGGAGCCTTCTGCACTTCCAGGAAACATGTGGACGAGAATGGCGTCGATGTCAAAGATGAATTCTGAGGCAACAATTCATTGATTTCCCCTTCATTTTCTTCCTCATGGATGGTTTCAAGAGTTATGTGGATATGGAGCCTAGACACTGCGAGGAAAGGAGGAGGGGCAACGGCAGAGAATGGAGTCAGGGGAGAGGACTCTGTAGCCGTGGGAGGGCAAAGTGTAGGACGGGTAGTGGTGGTGGGAAGGATTGCTAGACTCATTTCGCTATCATCAGCCATCTTTAATATGCAAGATAGCTAGCACACCTAAAGATTGAACTTTTTTGGCAAAGACAGCAAGGGATGCTTGATTTATAGTAGTTCTGCTTCATAAAAAGACAAGAAATGGGGCCTAAATTACTTGACAAGAAATTTCCCTGTTCTTTCTACACATTAATTAGTAGGTCAAAGTAGCTTAAGTGGTAGCCTCTAGCCTGGTTGATGAGGGACTTATAAGTTACTTCCACATTGTTGATCAAGATTAAATTTTTTATTTATCTACAAAAAGGTAATATCTCGTGAATTCTTTAATATTATTAGTATGGATTTACTTATTTTTAATTTGAAGAAATGTTGTACAATTTGAAAATAATTTAAATTACACAACTTAAACAGTTGAATGAGAATGGGCCCCGAACTATAAAATAGAAAACTTTTTTTAATTAAACTAGCCAGAAAGGTTGATTTAGTCTAGTGCTCGTAAGTTCGTTAGTTTAAACTCTTTTAAAGCTTTTTCCAGTTTAGAAGTTGAAGATATAGCAAATAACAAAACCATTTAAAGGCAATAGTCAAGTTCTTTAGGGCGGCTTTGATCACCTTTCGGCAGATTGCTACCTTTCGTTTTAGGCCTTTCCTCAACATCACCTTCAAAGGATTAATCCTAAATCTGCATTAATTTCAAAGTCATTCTGAACATATCAGGCAGACCACCGAGTTGTTGCCCTACACGTTACGGCAAAGATGATGGATGTGCAGAGTACAGCAATGGTTGAATTGGCAGTGGTCCAGTCTCCGGTTGGGAAGGTAAATGTGAAAGAGGAGGCAGTGAAATTTTGTGCTTTTGTTTAACAACTTCACCTTATTTGTTGAATTATATTTATTATAAAGGTATATGCTTACATTTTTTCCTTCACAAACTAGCAGATTTCTTCATAACCACAATTCATGGAGCTATGTTTCACAAGTATAATTTTGAGGCAATTGATGAAGAGCATATCATTTTCAGAAACTAGAGCCTTTTATTCAACCCGTGGAGCTTTCTGTGCATGAAATGAATCAATCCTTCTGAAGCGGAAGAAACTTTTTTTGAGGAAACATATGTTAAAAATGTTCAAATTCAATGTTCGTTTACAAATTCTGAACATTTGTTTATAATTTGTAGGAGTAGTAGCGTGTTCACCACCCCCACCTTGGCCCCTCCAGTATCCTCTTCTCCACGGCGCCACCCAAAAAAGAGAGAGGGGTTTTGAAGGAAAAGTGTATATTTGTTCTCCTATGTTTTGGAAGGAAGCAAAAAGTCCCAACTTCCCAGTTTTGTTGGAATATGGATAGAGATGAAAACACAGTTCCTTTCTTCTCTTGAAGCGAAAGGCAATGTCAATTATTTCCCTTATCTCTTAACTTTCTTGGTGACAAATAAAAGCTTAATAAAAACAGAATAGAGAATCCTATCAACAAAGCTAGAATAACGAAAAGGCAATTCTTGTCACTGTTTTGATTTCATTTCTTCTCTTCATCACATCATCATCATCCTTTTGCTTTATATGCTGCTTTTTCTATGCAAAATGAACCTAACATGTGTAGCTATTGCAGAGATATAAACTTCTGTCCTTGATAAGTTGGTATAATATACTTTGTTGTGCTTAGGCTGTATATATGATACACTACTGCATTGTCATCCTGATGGGCACCTAGATAACCTGTGATTTCAATGGGAAATGCCTGCTTAATCCTTCTTAATAATTCCCATGGGAGAACAAAGGAGGATACCCAAAATGATCTCTATGAAACTGAAAATGTGCATATAAGAGGCTGATCGGCCAAAAAAACAAAAAAAAAGAATGGTAGAGAGACCCTTTTGCCTTCTTAGAGTAAAATCCTTCAGTCCCTCTTGAAAGTTCAAACTTTACAAATCCATTATTGTAATTTTTTTTTATATTTATAATTAAGATATCATTAAATTAACTTTTACACAGCTTAAAATTATTTCCTCCTCAAATGATTTTAAAGGTACACTCCCACGTCATTCAAGAAAATTAATTTTTTTTGAATGCCACCTCCAAGACTTGAACCCTTGGGGTTACTCGATTATTGCAATGGATAAGGTGCAAGATCGACCTTGGGGGGTCCATGTCTCAGTCCACGAAGCTTGCCTTGATCAAGGGTAATGACTTAGAACTGGCAAGTATTGAGAAAAAGGGAGCAAGCTGCTCTACTTTATGCCTTAAATGCAAGGTTTGGAGGTATACTTTTAAGGGTTTGTTTTTTTGTTTTTCTCTGGTTTAAGGTCTTTGTCAAAATTGTGAAGGGCGGCTCAGCTTCATTCGCAGCCTGACAGATTTCGACCTTTTTTTGCCTTTTTGGTACGACCTCCCCCAAAAGGTTTCCAGAACCAGTGTTAGGGCACCATCGTCTGCCGTAGAAGGTAGGGCACATATGATAAGCATGCGCCATCAGCTGGGAGAGTACAGTTACAATGGCCCTTTCGGAGCTTGAAAAGACTGTAGATGGCAGTGTCCAAGGGGAACGAGAGAGTGCTTCGCTCTGGATTGTGCTAAAAAGTAATATTTACCAGATTCTTCTGCAGGGTAATTTTCAGCAAAGTAAAAATTAAAAATGCATAAGGCTAGTAAATCTCCTTTTCTCATGTTAAAAGGAACCTGTTGCGTTGTGCTTACTCATGATTCACAAAGGTGTGTAAGATTGTGAATTGCTTAACCACATTGCCTTGATCTGTCAAATTAACATCGATCCAAAGCAGATAGTGAAATCACAAGTTCTTTTTAACACTCAAGATGAAATATCCTACATGCATGTCTGACACGAAGTTCTTGTAAACTGGCGTAGTAGTTTTCAGAAATATCAATAAATCATACTTGAAACCACGATGCTAAATCATTTCCACTTCATTCTAATGGAAGATAAACTGTAGCATACAGCAATAGAAATATGAAAACACTTTGATGTTCCTCAATGCTATATTTGACGGAGAAACTTCAGAAAAGAAGAGCATGCGAGATCAGGTTGTTCAATACTTTGGAGGTGGCTGCTGTGTCAGCAGCAAACCAAAACGTTTCTTCAGAAGAACTCTCTGCCTTGAGTATTTGTCATCAGGGGAGAAGCGAGCTGCGGTTTATAAATGTAAGAATGTGTCAATGACTATGACTTAAAAGAATGTGTAACGTGGTGACTAGATAAGAATTCTAACTTGCAAAACATGCTAAATAATAACAAGGAAACACTAATGATTCCTCCTCCAACCTAGAAGCTATCACTTTTGCCCTCTCCAACCTGAACAATTCTATGTGTACTTAAGCTCATCTCTCTTTTTTTTTTTTAATATTTGGCCAGCTTCTCTAGCTCATCTTTGCACTCAAAAGTTAACCAAATGACAAATAAAAGTGAGCATAGTGAGACCACAACCTTGGAGCAAAATCAAATTTTCACCACTATTGAGCCTACTTCTCATTTGTTCAAAACAAAGGGAAGATTATAGAAGAAGAAAAAAATTATAGAAGAGGAAAACTTTTATAAGTACATGACTACAAAACTGACGACAGGAGTATTTACTGACAAAACAAAGATAACTATATTGAGCGCGATACTGTGTGACTTTCTAAAAAAGACGACAGTAGACATGAAAGCAATATCCTTGAGAACAACAAAAAGGTCCTCAAAAATTAGATCAACTACTTCTTATCATAATGATTGAAAGACCAAAATGTATTATTACCTGGATGTGCAGATTGAGTGACCAATCCCAATGGTGATTCTATCTGCATGCAAAATTCAAATTTTACTCGCTAAAGCAAAATAAATGGTGAATTTACTTGTAAAAAGAAGGATAGCAGCTAAACTAATGGATCAACAGAAAAAATTGTACGAAATAGTTTTTGGCCTCCCACAGGCAGACACCTACTCTTCATACATAAGATAAATCTCCTAATTGCAGAAGCTCCAAATTTCATTAGATAATAACTTTTTCTCTACCATGCCCAATGAGGAAAATATACAAACTTATTAGCTCAAAAAGGTGAGATGACTCATGCGACCACTCTTAATAAAGCCTAAAACTTTAATTGATCCACTTCTTATATCACCCTTGTTTAAACTGGGTATCAAAAGGCACCTATGCATACACAACAACTCAACCAATTTATAGACGCTTATCTTGGGATAGCAACTGCTACAAATCATCTGAAACTCTAGGTCTCTACTTATAGAAAATAATAGTGATATAACAATAACCCGCAAGTAGAGTTACCTTAATGGTGTACACTTTATCACCATTCTCGTTTATGTAGTACTAGCAGATTATCACCTTAATTCAAACAATATTAATACCCCCTGTTTCAAGCAGAAAAGATACTAAGGAACGCAAAACCAAGATCACAAACTGAATAAAGGCTCTCTCTTTAGATATACAACAAAGCAACCGAACACTGGCAATCGGTTGAATTTGACCAAAAGAACAAAGCTTTCGCAGAGAATCTTGCTTATTTTAAATTTGCAGCAAAAGGGTAAAAATAGAAGAAAAGACGAGGAGTTGAAAAGGAACATACCTTACTGTGAGGAACGGCTAGAGAGCTGGCTGTGGCAAAAGCCTAACAAATGGAGAAGACAGTGGCCTCAGACCCTCTGTTAGCATCTTGTATGTCTAGTGGGCCTTTCTGGTACATTTTCTTAGAGGGCCGTCGCGGGGCTCAAGCCACTCCAA